CCACATGGTTGATAAAGATACATATTTACACATACATATGTACATATGTGTATTTGTATATAGGGAATACATTTATTAATAAATCAAATACGTAGTATGATCTGTTATCATACAGATCCATATACTGAGGCACTCATGTATGTATACCCAATGCCATGTGCAATTTTTATTTATTTTCGTATTTGCAGTTTTTGGGGTTGACTCATTGTTGTTGAATGATAAGACACCATGATCGATTTGGAGGATTTACCCAGAATGCAATCGTTGTCGCCTATTCAAGATATCGAAGAATATAGGCCAAAGCTGACCCAATTGAATCCAAAGGTGTTTAAAGCTTTAAAGCCGGGTGAGGTGATGCCAAAGCTCTTGATCAAACCAACGGTGGTGACAACACCAGCCAAGTTACCGTTGACAACAACACTAACAACACCAATGACAACAATGGAAACACCACCAACACCGGTTGCTTCTTTGAAAACACCAACTACTCAAAAAAACTCATCCCACTATGGCTTCAACTACAATTTACTGGTAAGCTATAATTTAAATTTTATTTTATTTTATTTTTTATTTTTTCCAAATATACATTCATATTCCTAATTTAAAGTGTAATAAAAAATCTTTATTTTAAATGGGGGAAAACAATATGCGGGCTTTACGTATGTTAAATTTTAACAGAGACGGTAACCCAAAAGCTTAAAGCTTTAGAAAAAGCTTTTCTCTATAAATCACACCAATACTGTGAACTTTATTTATACGTATCAAGATTAACGAGTTATTTATTGTTGTTTTATTTCGATAATTTCTACAACTCCACTAACATTCACCAACAAGTTAGATATGTGTTAAAGGAACAACTCAACCATTAACCATAGCTAGTGACTCAACTAAGATAAAGCACCCGATTAACAGCGCAGTTTAGTTATAACATTGCCATTTTGAGTAAAATGTCGATAATATTCGCATTGCGATGACAAACTGTTAAGTTGCTTTTGTAAGCTTAACATCATTCGGCTTTATAGCGGAGACATATGCCATAATCGCTATAAATTGTATTTGTTGTTTTAAAAGCGCGGTGAACAGACGTCTGTCAGGCGTTCGCCGAGTCAAAAAGAAATTGTGAAAATCAGAAAAGCAACGCAAGTTAACAATAAAAACACGTTTTATTCGTGTATTTTCGCGCTGATAAAGTTAGTATACATACGTATGTAAACTAACGAATACGCAACGTAAAGAGAAAGTGGCAATATTTTTTCAAAGGCGAATAATAAGCAAAAGAAACCGCGTAAAAGTGCAAAATTCATTTACATTGCGTGTATTTTAGTACTTGCGTTAGTGTGTGTGTGTATAAATGAGTGTGTGTGTGAATGTGTGCTTATGCGTACAACACTTAAGCAAACTCGTGTTTTTTTATAAGTTCTCTTACAAATTTGCAGCTTTGCAATACACCAATAATCTAAATAAATATGCAACCTCATTGTGATGTGGTGAACAACAGTCTAGCAACAGCAACAGCCAAAGCCAGACAATTCAGCAATATGCTCTCTGCGCCGCTCAGCTGACATGTTGCAAGCTGCATACAACTGACGAAATTGCTGCTAAAATAGAATTGTTTATTAAATACAGTGTTGTTGCTGCTGTTAATGCAAAGTTCAAGCTTAGAAATCGTTCTCGAAGTTTCTAATAATGTGTGCGAGTACCGGCTGGGGTGGCAGCGGCAACGGCAGCACAAAAACAATGATAAATTTTGTATAAAATTAAAATACGCTGTTTATACTGCGCTTTATAATTGTATGTCTCTCTATGTACGTGAGTGTGCGAGTGTGAAACGCTCTTGTTCTTGGACTGTGACTGTTGCTGCGACTGCTGCTTCTACCTCTGCTGGCTCTGCTGCTGTTGTGTATTGTTTTTGCCTTGATATGCATATGACAAGTAGTGTGGTGTGTTTTCATGTGTGTGCATGAGTGTGTGCGTATGAGCTTTGATTCCCGTAAATGTTAAATTATTTTGCATTTAATTAAACGTATGAGTTAATTGTTGTCATATACAATCATACGTGCACGCATTTACGTATGTGTGTGTGTGTGTATATATATGTAAGAGAGTATAAAGAAACTGACGAAGAGACGCAACCGTTTGTGTTGTTAGTGTGAGTCACAGACTGGCCAAGAAAACGGCGATAAAAGCAAATAACAAATAAACGTTGATGTGAAGGAGTAAAGCAGAATAAGCATTGACATTGCTAAACAAAAAATAAAAACAAAAAAAAATCATAAATAATATACATACGTATGTATGTGCATAAATGTTTTAAACAAATGACGATTTCACCATACACAAACACATGCAAGCACATGCGGTGCGTGTGAAGAGTGTACAGCGAAGAGTAACAGGGACAGCAGTCGAGGGCAGTTAAAGTTTTAGCTTTACCGCAATGCAATAACAAATGCAGACACTAATACATTACAACACTAAAGCATATGGATGACTTTTTATGTGTTTTGTATTTGTTCGAGTCATTTTTACTAAATATACAATTGGCAATGGAAAGTGGTAGAACGAAAGTCCATTGGCCAAGTTCAAGGACGTCGGCAAATATTTAGAGCATTTGTGAAAGAAAACAAAAAATAAAAAGAAACACAATTAATAATTGTTTAGTTAATAATTAATGCTTTTGCAGTCTATCAAATGTTAATTTATTGAGCGCAACATATTAATAAAAAAGTCAAAATAAGAACTAAAACAAAACCAACAAAAGCCGCGTGCAAATTGTAAGTGAAAATAAAAAGAGAATAATATACGTCGGCAGCGACGTCAACGGCGTGCGCTGGCGTTGAAACGGTATAATATCATTCACCTACAGCAGCAGCACTTTGCAGCAAAAACTGCGACGCAGTTTTTACCGTTGAAGTCACAAGCACAAGCACAAGCAGCAGAGCTTCTTGCAGCCGAAAAGCGAATTGAAATTCGTGGAGAAAAAGGTGAGTGCACTGTAGAGACAAATACACACATATAGATGTATACAAACACATATACATACGCCCGCACACATGCATGCATCTCACTCTCGCTCATTTGGCACATTAAAGGTTATTTAGAACTGCATTTGTATTTGTTGTTATATTCTGATTTTGCCAGTGCTGATCGAACATTGTTTTATTTCACTGTATATCGCGCACACACACACACACTTATGCCTATTGCAGCCTTTAAACAAAGCATGTTTATATCATTTTTGGCTAACATTTGTTGTTGTTGCCCATCAACTCGACTCTCCTTGAACTTGCTTCGTCTTTGTTTTGTGTGTGTGTGTGTGTGAGAGAGTGAGTGAGTCGTATACTCGTCGACCATGCCCTCCGCCCCTCGTGTCAGAATTTTATCAAAGACCTTGAACAAGTTCAAGTTCACGCAGCCGTCGTGTCTGTCGCGTGTTTCGCTAACGTCGACCTAAAGAAAGAAAGAGATAGATATAGAGAGAGAGGGTGGCAGGAGTAAGAAACTAAGCCCGTGGCGTGGGCATCCAGACAGACACCCAAAACTGAATGTCCACATGTTTAGTCTTCCCTTAAGGCTAAGGCATTAGAAATGATTTGATAGCCCAATTTAATGCCGAATAAAAGCCTATTTAATAGAAATACCTCTAAAGGTGTTAAAGGTGCTAATATAAGAGAAACACGTTGTAAGCATCAACTTGAATAATCAATTTCAATTACCCTTGAGAATGCATTAGATATTTGCTGGAGATTAAAATCGAATAGCTAAACATGAGATATATCATGTTAAATAGTAATAGAAAGTTGTTGTTGTCTTTTAGGATTCGTATTTGTTTGTTTTAGGCAAAACTCTTCAACAGTAGTTTGATTAATAATGTAGTATTTGCGATACATTAGTTAAATTTATAATAGTATCAGGTAAACCTATAATAATTATATAATATAATATATTTCTGATAAGCAACAACAGCTGATTTCATTTCTAATCATCTCAGTCCATCAAAACGCTTTCAAAAACAAGAAAACTTTTTAAATGTTATACATACATACAAAATCATTCATACACATATGTACATATCTATCAGTATTGACTCTTTATAGACGAAAACATTTGTAGGTCATATTTAAGCTCTAAATATTTCATCAGGATTGTTCAACAAATACGAAAGTTCTGCAAAAGTGAATTAGAGTGAAGTGCGTGACATGGTATGATTGTGTATGTGTGTATATTATATATGTATATATACAATTCTTAACTTCAGTAAAGATTCGCCGTTATAGATAAATCCATAAAAAAGCAAAATAGTTGTGTATAAAAGAAACTAAAGTTATGATTCATACAAGATTATAGGATATTACATATACATAGATATATGTACAGAACCATACAATATAATATAAATATATATATGTATGTTTAATTGGAGATATACATATGTATATATATACATATATATTTATGGTTTACTTAATAATTAAAGACACCCCCAACGATATATTCATAATACCTGGAAGGAGTATCTACATATGTATATATATATATCAGGTTAAGGAAATATAGTCAAGACGGAAATCGTATGTTTTATATGCAGATATCAAAATCTATAACTGTTTCTATCTATTAATAAATGTGTGTGTGTGTGCGTGTGTATGTTAGTGTTTGATCATTTCCTGTTGCATTGCCTTTAGCTGTTTCTTTGATCATGCACAACGCAAATTCATTAAGACTCAACATCATATTTGACACGCCGATTAACTAAGCATATATATCTATATGTATATACTAATATTTGACCTCTGTCCATCTGTTTCTATATTTGCAGTAGAACAACAACAATATTAAATTCAAGAAGCAGCTGACCAAACACGAGGACATTTATTAATTGAACAAGAAAACAACGCGAAGTGACCATCAGTTCAGCAGGAGAATTGCGATTTAAACAAACAATAATTTTTGGTTTTTGCGCAGCTTGATTCAATTA